TGCGGGCCTCCGAAAGTGATGGCGGGGACCTGGGACGCAAAGAGGTGAGTGGGTGATGTGAGTAGGAGATTGTGCGGGGATATCTGCACCTTTCCGAGCGGATTGACACGCTTGTACCATTCCGGCTTGTCGCGATGGACGTTTATTTGGCAGAGGGTGTACTCCGCGCCCGCCTCTTCGAGAGCAATATGCGCCTACCAGGAGTTCGCGTTAGTGAGGACATGTGCAACATCCATGCCAACTGTTGGGACAGACCCGATGGCCGTACGGCGAGACTTAGTAGAGTGGTAGGTCAGACACAGAGTTTCTATAACCCTCAACGAGAACAACTGACCGTGGTCGTATACAAGGTGATCTGCTCGGTGCAAGGCATGTCGGTGAAGTGGGATGTGTTGTACGAAATCCATTCTGCATGCAGTCTTTAAGTATCAAGTTCGAATGCATAGGCTCCGAGCTGCTCTGAGTCAGTAGCCGCGCCAAGTTCGCAACACGCATCGTACCTGTACACATGTGCCACGGCTTAGTTAGCGAAACGATCGCAGCATTGAACATCAGACGTGCCTGTGGTGCCGTCTCCACACAATCCGGTAAGTACTACATTTTCGTATTGACAGTCTGATATTCTCGAGACACGGCAGGGAGTACTAGTACTACGACAAGGCGCCGCGGCCGAGTCTAGCAAACTTCTTTCATTTGCGCACAGGCTAAAGAGTTCTCTCGGTCATTGCACGCAGTCCATATAGTAAGTACAAGCGCTCCTCACATTCTCGAGACACGGCGGTGAGTAAGTACTACGACAAGACGCAGCCGCCGAGTTCAGCAAGCTTCTTTCATTTGCGCCCAGGCCAGGGACACTGCGCGCCCGAAAGGTGGTGGGCGCTACGACTATATCGGGTGATTAGCTCCGATCACCAGGCAAAGTGTCGGTTTACTAGTGGGTAGTGAAAGTAGTGGTGATCAGGCCCTTTCGGAGTTTCAACAACTACAGCGGTGATAATCACTGTAGTCTATTCAAGGTTTGGCGCTCGAGAGAAAGCCAGGTTGGGCCAAATAGGGACAAACATTGGGAGACCAGTGGCAGCTTGACAACCGTCATCTCTCTTGTCCTCAACATCCAGCAGCTCGTCCTCGTCGTCCTCTTGAGCTCGCCTGCTCTTACACGCTCTCTGTGGTCCTCGTCTGCTCTTCTAGGGATTTACCTCGCTATACCCGGATCTCCCCAGTGCTCTACGGTCCACCTGCTGTGAGCTGACAACCGCTGTCATCTGGTCGCTCGCTCTCTTCAACGTCGACACTGTATAGCTATCAGGTCGCCCTCTCTGAGGATTTGTTCCGCTCAACTGTCAGTACGTGCATTGTTCTTGCTTGTGCATCAGTATCTATGGCGCCGTCGCTCTGCTTCCTAGGTCATCTTGCTTGCCCTGCTCTCCCTCGCACCAGCTGTTCGTGCGCTGCTCATGCTTTGTCGCCATCTCGCAACTGCTCGGCACCTTGCGCTACTTACACACACGCTCTGGCTGGCCATATCCACATTCACGTCGCTCGGCTCTCCACACCCTGCCCACATCTTGCCTGCGTCTTATCCGACTGCTGCTATGCTCTGGCCTACACTGTTGCGCGCTCGTCCTGGTGTCCTGTGTCTCTGCTGGCTGGTCTCGCTCGCGCCCTGCCTGCATCTCTGCGCACTCTGTCTCGCGCTTGCGACTCTGCCTCTCACCCACGCCTCGCCCATGTCTTGTCGGCGTCTCGAATCCACTTGCGCCCACGTCGTGTCCCGTGTACGCTCGCGCCTGCGTTGTGTACGCTCGGTGTCCTCGTGCCATTTCGCGTCCTCCCCGTGCTCGCTCCGCGCCCTCGTGCTCACCCCGCGCCCTCCTCAGGTCTGCCCCGCCTACATTCGCGTCTACACCGCGTCCGGTGCACGCTCGCTCATACCCCCATCCTGCCCGCGCCCGCCTCGCCCCTGCTGTATGTGTCCAATACGATATTCTGCATGTATCCACTCGTTGCCAATCAATACATACGTCGTTCATCCCAATCAAATGGGAGCTATACATGTCATAGTGAAAACCGTAGTGCAATATAGTGTGAATCACCCGATATCAGAATTCACCCAGATAGTTGCGTGTAGTCACCCATTCCGCCCAGCTGCACCGACATGTTGAATCGTTGCAAAATAAGGTTGAAATTTCCGGATTTCGACACCACTAAAAGTAGTGATTATACACCGGCGCCAGAGTTGCGGAGTGGGTGAGAACAACCAGTTTTCGTTGGTATTTTCTCTACTTTAGGTATAGTGAACTAAAGGGTGATTTTCACAATGTATCGGTCGTACAGTGGGAGTCTTCTCGCGCCTTGCGTGCAGTCTGCAAAGTTGGAGCGCTCTTCGTTTTCGGGGCTCCGTTATACGTGGGGCCGACGGCGGTATTTGGGACGCGGTCGACAGCTGGTACGTCGCAGACCCGTGTGTTCCAAACCCTGTAACGGTGACATTCGCAGTGTCGCAGACGAGAGAAGCGGGCTTCGATGCTTCTGTGCTACGTCCGCCTCGAGGCACGGGCTGCGTCGACGGCGGGTTCGTCGCAGGATACGCTGGCGTATGGACTGGACAGTGCTCCGCGACGGTGTGGACGGGAGACTTCCAGAGTCTCAAACGTGTTAAATACGCAGCGATGCAGTCGTTGGCCCCCCGGACGGTCGCTAGGGCCCTCCTCCCCCCCTGCGTGTCCGCTGCGCCGTTCTCCCTGAGCATCTGCGATGGAGTCCTGGGACAACATCTCTACACCCTCGGCCTCGGCAGCTTATGGAGCATCCGATGGGGCGTGCCCGTCTGACCCTACCGACGCACTCTGCCATCCATACGAGGACGCGTATCTCGAGTCCTCCACTGGCAGGGTCGCGTCCTCATACAACGAGGCATCCTACGCGGATTCGCACCTGGCGTCCTTCTCGAGAACCGACCCCTCCACCGGGCGGCACAAGTTCGCAGTGGTCAACCCTGCTGACCTCGGACCTGCCCCGTGCTCCCTTCCCACCGGCCGTGAGGATGACATCCTATCCTCTCCCTCGTACGGGTGGATCGATCTGGCAAGGGAAGGCGCAACTACAGCGGACTCCGTTTACCCCCAGCCATCCTCGAGCTCGTACAACGGAGCTTACTCGCTCATGCCAGTCTCGGACACCGACGATATGCTGTCCAGGCCGTTGGGGATCCCTTCTGACACTGGACTGTTCGTTGGCCACTTCACCGAGCGCGAGCCGCTGCGCCCCCAGGCCACCGCTGCCCCAACCATGATGGGCTGCAATTACTCCAACCTCCCCGACCACGCGCTCGACACGCAGCACCTCGCGCACGGCCTAAGCAGTCGCCGCGGTGGTGTGTGTGCCCCGTCGCGCTACGACTTCGCTTCTAGCTCAATCTACAGCCTGAACCACGGTAGGACCATTGTGAGCTTCCGCATTCCGTCTATCGCTCACTATGATTATGCGACAGCATACGGCACGCAGGCGCAGGAGTTGCAGGCTCCTGAGGTCAACCGGGCCCAGAAGGTCGACTATATGGCCGCGGAGGCCCTAGGTCTCGACCATGCAGCGCTGCTTTCACCACCCAATGTCACGCCGGGCACGTCCGGTGTGGGAGGTGCCCCGGTCACTCAAGCCTCCATTATGGGTACTGAACGACCCACTGCGAACGGACGCAAGAAGTACCTATGCAACGTTTGTGGTACATGTGAGTGTTCAAATTCGCTTATTGTGTCCCGTGGTCTGTTGCGGACTCCGAGTTGGTGTCCTGCATGCTCATATGATCGGCGACGTTCTTGCTCATTACGGATAGCTACTGACCTTTGCTTACAGGGAGGTCATCGCACAACCGAAAACAGCATCTCGCGACGCACGACCTCGCCCGGGTTCGATACTGCTGCCCCGGGCCTCAGCTCGGCTACCACTGCAGACCCGGTCTCTCGTGGAGCCGCCGAGGCGATATGTGGGACCACGTCCGAGACAAACATCCCGGCTGCCCCGCGCCTCCTAAACAGAAACGAGACAAAAACAACGAACCGCGGCGCTCCGAGCCGCCCCTCTATTAGTAGTTAGGATTCGCCACCGCCACCGCCACAGTACGTCCTACCCATTCCGTCTCCCACTGCTCACATAGTACTGATGTTCCCGATCCTGGACTGCACACAGCCTAAACCCGAGACCTGCCCCAGCCGCAGATCATGACGTCTTGCATGCCAGGCACGTAAGTATCCATAGGCACTGGCCTGTGCGTGCAAGGCGCCATGATGTGGTCGTGCTGGGGCCCGACGCGCCGCCGGGGGGCGTCCCCGCACTTCGAACTGGGAGTGTGAGGACGTCTTCGGGCGAGCGTGTTGGGTTGTGCGGGGTCCAATCATAAGGGTGGTGACGGCCGCGGTGTGGGCGGGTTTCAACAATCCGCTCGTACAGCTCTCGAGTTTTTCAACTCGTCGTGTTTTGTGTTACAGTTCTCCCAAAGTTCTCGCTTGTGAATTGCTCTGCTTTCGTGTTCTCTCCGTGTTGTTTACGCTCTCGAGCCAGTCCCTTTCTTGCCTTGTACGATATGCTGTCGTAGACATATTCTCTCGTGCGTTGAAGCCTCTTCCAGTGCTCTCGAGTCTCGATATGATCCGCTTCGCTATGCACTCGCTGTACCTTCGTCTACTATACTCTATATCATGCTGTGGCGGTGTTGCACCCGACCGACGGTCTGCCTCAAACAATATGCTAGAACTCTTATGACACGGTAAGCGGCTAGGCTTCTACAGTACGTACTGTACAATGGGAAAGAGATGAAGAAACGCGGAGCCTCCGGGTGCGACTAGGCAGAACTACAATGTACATATCGTATGTCGTAGCGAGGCGCCGGTTAAGGCGGGGCGTGCGGTACGGTGGTGATACAGTGCGGGGCGGATTAGAATGGGTGGCGGGACTGGGCGGGGATACGATATCTACTCGTACTAGTACATGTACACGTGTGTAAGGTCCGTTAGGATGGCGTTGATTCTTGAGGCGGTAGGGAAGGATTGGGGAATGAGGAGAGGTGAAGATGAAAGGAAATGAAGGGGAAGGAGAGAAAGGAGATTTCAGAATTACTCCAGTCTGCTGATGATCGTCATGAGCCCGGGTACGCTTCGCGCCTTGTCGAGCGCCACTGGCCGCTGTGGGTCCAGCGTGTCTGAACGCGCTGCTGAAGCCGTATAGTGGACCTACAAACATGGGATCAGTATCGTCGCTCAGTACATTCCAGACGCCACCAGAACGATGGACCCCACGCGAGAATATTGACTATGTGCAGCCGTTGCGAGCGGCGGCGCGAGGGCTACTGTCACACCGCCGAGTATGCAAAACGAAACGTGCAATGCAAATGTCGCGCGCTATACTTCACCTCGTCCCCGATCGGAGATGCGGATATGCATATGCTATCTCGCTGTGCATATCTGGTCCCGCGGTAGTAGGCCCGCATACCTGCTAGTAATGCCTGCTACATACTGACCGCTTTACGCGAGATGTGGGGGAGGAACTCTGGGGTTCTGGTAATAGGTGGCATCGGGGAAGTACTTACATAGACCTTGAACGAACCGTCGGACCGGTGCCTAGGCCCGCAGATCGTGCACGTCCACCTACACGCGCACACATGAGCGCTCCGGTCCCGCGAAGCTAGAGATGAAGGGACGTACTGCTCATCAACTAGAACGTTCGCACCGTACGTCTGCGCCTTCTGGTACAGTGCGCCACGGACCGCGCGCAGCAGCTTGGTGGTGTCAACACCGTCGCGACAGATGAAGGTCTCGTCCTGTTCGAGGTGGATCTTCTCCGTCTCCGCAGACACCACGCCGTGAAGCGCGGTGTGCGTCTGTGGCGCGTCGCCTGAGGTAGACTCTATGTGATGGGCCTTTGCTTTCGAGCGGTGGCGGCGCATCCTAACGAAGAGGTTCGCGACGTTGGAGACGCTGAGCGGCATGAGGTGATTGCTCGAAGACGAGGTGGAGGATGAGCGCGCAAGAAGCGGTGACGGCGGTGGGGAAGAAAGCGTAGTCATGTCGGGCAATGTACGTCGACGATGAGGAGAAAAGAGCTTTGCGAAAGAGAGATAATGGAGGTTGGGAACAGAGATGGGCTGCGGGGCGGAGACGAAGGCGTGGGCGACTCATGTTCGCGGTCCCAAATAGGAAATGTCTGCATTCTCACTCTCCGCCACAACGTGCGCACTCACTCTAGGTATGAACCTCCTATGAAGGGGGGGTGCGGGTGACCCCCCGTGGGAACGTCTGAGTTGGAATCCCTTGGTGAGAGAACGAGCGGGCTTTCAATGGATGGCTGAAGCTCCCGGCCCTCGAGAGCTCTATAGCGGACTGTGGGCGACGTATCACAATAAAAAAATTGCTCTTGGGGAATGCTGTCTTCTCCAAACCACCTCATATATTTTCAGGATTTTCAG